TTGATGGCCATTTTTTTCACGAAATACGAACGAAAATGTACGTATATTTTCATTAGAAAATTAGTCAGTCGGCTTTCTTCCCTGAATTCTAATTTTCCCTCGACTTGAAGTTATTCAGGGGATATTTCCGTTCTGAAACTTGAATAAAAAACTGCAGGACTTAATTATGAAATTGCAATCAATGTCTGAGGAAAGACTTGTCCTCTACAGAGCTCGGCAAAATATTTCTTTAATTGCTTATTATAGTTAATCCTGCATGGACATTATTTTTTAAACATTGATTGAACAGTTACCTCTGCGGACTTCTATAAATTCCAAAAATAGTTTTTACTTTCACAACAAATTATGAACAATTAAACAAAAATTTATCCTTGTTTTATATTTGAAAATTAGATCTTCCGTGGTAATAATCCAGAGACCTCTTCTTAAAAAAAATAAAAAATTAGAGACCAGCATGCAATACTCCTTGTAAGAATCGTGAATAGTACATGAGTACGACATGCAGAGCGACAAGATACCACATTTTCTATCAAACTGGGGTACTGGTATCGAACCTTACTTGGCCCACTACAAAAAAGTAGAACTAACTTATCCAAATCCGTTCCGAAAATACTGTATATCATCATGACTGAACCTATTTCACCGACCGTTTGCTGTTCATGTTTCATATTTTAAATCTTTGTGATGATTCGAGTTCTTGAATGCTAACATTTTGCAAACTCACATTCTCTTATTCGCATTTTCCTCATTCAAACTGTGTCACGCCACTTGAAAGTACTGCTTTATATCTCATGCACGGGGTCAGATATGCCTTCTTTTAAAAAAAAATTGTTGGGCTGCGTTTGTTCACAAAATCGTCCGACTATACTCCAAAAATTCCTTTCTCTCTTTTTTTTTTAAATTTTGAGTCTGATCCGAGTGCATGTCATGTTGTATGTACACACGAGACGAAGCGGAAGAGGCCATTCTGTTTAAAGCCCTTCCGTGCTCGTACGGAAAAAACAGCCCAAGGGCATGGAAACGCAAAAAAAAGAGGCCAGCACACGGAAAACAAAAAAAGACGCGTGCCATTCAATATCCTTCGCCCCCCCC